AAAAAAAAAAAAAAAAAAAAAAAAGGTCCAAATGAAGGCCATTTCCATAGTAAACAACAATGAAATTCTTTATTTTTTTAGCTAGGATAAAAAAATCAACAAAACAAGCAAAATAAATAATTAAATAGAAGAAAACAAGATCTTAACTTAGGTTTAAACAAATTAAGTGGAACTTACAACATTTACAAAGGATGTGATGTTCCATAGAGCATATACACGTGCAAGACCTGCTGATCGCCTGGGTCCGTGGCTGAACAAAGCATTGATTCCAGCAGGGAAAGGAAGCAATATCCCAAGGGGTATAATAAACAAAACAAGAAAGACGTCTGCTAGCGAAAAAGAATACAACTGGAGCAACGTAAGCAATACTAGACTGAAATCTCCTAGAAGAAGGATCGAGACCACCAAACCAACAAGATCCTGAAGCGCAAAATACAGTGTATGGTAAGTATTGCTTTTCAAGATTAACTGGTTTTTCAACATTTTAATTATTTTAGTGGTAGGTTGGATACCTGGTGACCGACAGGTCTGGAGTTGTGAAGTAGAAAAGAGAGGACAAAAAACAGATCTCTTTTCTCCTCAACCTCCTTCAAATTGTTAAAATCTAGAATCCCGCCATAAACATTCCTTCTCCAGTGACCTTCACCGGTTCGCAGAGCCCGACTCAACAACTTATTCAAAGTTTCATCATTCTGATACGTACCCAAGGCACTGCTGCGACCAAAAAAACAATATAACAATATATGTATGTATACACCTACGCACACACGCACACGCACACACACACACACACACACAATAAACGGCCTCAAATGCCCAAGAAAGAGAGAAAAAAAAAACAAACAGTTAAAAAGATCTGATTTTGTTAACAATTATTCACATATGATGCAGCCTGAAATTCTAAAATACATTGAATTAACTATAAGTCCACACACATGACGGTGCTAAAGTCTAAAGATAGTTTTGGAAATAAGAATAACTAAAATATGCATGCAGGATATCATTATATACTAAAAAATAGTTCAACTAAGAATGTTGATAAGATGCGGCAACTAAATATAACAATAGTTGCTTTTTGCTAACAGCATTTGCACTATCCCAAAATATTTAAGTAGTAAAAAATTAAAGCAAATGCATAATAAAATAAGAAAAGCCCCGAATATCAAGAAAACGGATTATTTGCTATCAAAGATGCATACCTTGAACGGTGTTCATTTCCAGGTTCTTCATCATGATATGCTACTGACATGCGATCCAACTCCTCCAGAGCATATATCAGAAGTCCATAATGGCGATAGCCATCAGTTGAATTTTGAAACCATGAAAGATCCACATGCACACCATATACCCTTAGTGCTGGATTTGCTAATGTTTCGAGCCACTCAAGGACAGGACTCAACTTTTTCCTAAGGCAGCCCCTTCTTACCAAGCGCAACTGAGCATTCAAACCAGCTACCAAACGGTACCATGTGGTAGGAGGGATAGACTGCAAGAGAAGGTAGGCTCAATAGAATAACAACATTTTTTCTTCGAAGAAAAAAATTAAAATAAAATTTACAGTTAGAAAACTAACTACAAATAAGAAAATAAACCTGACTCATGAGACTGGTGAGGATGTTGTCATTATGAAGCACGAATGGAGTCATGTAGCTTCCGTCACCTCCAAATAATATAGACATGGGAAATCTTTGATGCAGACGAGGAGGAAGATCATTTCTCTTTTCGTCACCACCAAGGAAGAAATCTACGTAAGCCAGCATTAGATCTGGTGTTGCGCCAACCTACAATTATGAATATGAATAAAATTGTTTGAAAATTTCAAATTCAAATTGTACTGTCAAGAGAACTAATAGCTCAAAAAAAATCGAAAAAAACAAATTTGTCAGAAGACCAATTTAATAGCAAAATGCATGACAGATAGAAAGACAGCTAGGTGTTCCGTCACAACCAGCATACTCTACCACTTCCGCTACGAGATGTTTAATCCTATAGATCAATGTAATTACAAACAAAAATTCCCATGCAACCACTAAAACGTGAGTTTTTTTCTTCCGAATTTCATGCAGGATAAACTGATGTATGCTAAGTACAGCTATCATTTATTTCACACTACAATCTATTGTACATAATAGCGTAATAGGGAAATCAATAAAATTTGCATGCTTTTTTTCATGGAAAAGTCGGGAGTTCCTTTAAGATAAGTAGAATCACCAGTTGAAGTGAGGCCACATATTTGAAAGACAAAACAAGACAGACATCTTTTTTACCTTCAAACCTTCATATAGAGCACGCGAACGACATGAACGTAAACAAGCATGGTCATATTCAGATCGGACAAATTCTCTTATCTTCTGCAACTTTATTTTCCGCCGCCATTGCTGCCACGACCATGCAAAAGGATAAGCAAGTATACAAAGAATACTATACACTGACCCTTCCCACCACTGATATGCGGCAAGAGAGTTGATCTCGTCGACAAAAGTGTTGAATGCACCTTCGTATCTGCCATTGGATAAGAGAGTATTACATTATTATTCCGAAAGATTAAGGGCGCGTTTGGATATGGATAATAACCGGTTTTAATCGCTTTTGAGAGATCAAGTTATTTTGTTTCCAATCACCACTTAAAATTCAACTCAACCCAACTCTCCTCCTTTTTATAAATATAATTAAATTATACCAATCAATCATCCTCGCATATAACATCAACTATTCACCATCCATCCACTAACATAATTTTAACTACCAATCACTTCCAATAATATCTCTCCTACTTTTACATCACATCAACTCTCATCATTACATTTTAAATAATATTCAATCACAAACTCAAAATCATCCACCCAATCAACTTTATTTAAAATAAGTCACTTTAACCAACAAAATTGGATCATAACCGGTTAAATTCATATCCAATCACACCCTAAGTATCCAGTCAAGAGTAGATATTTAAAAAAGCACTATATGATATGTTGAAAGAAATATATCAAACATTATATTGTAAAAGTTACTCATTTGATTCTTCCCAATAATGGTTAACAACAACACAAATTAATTTGAAGGAGTTTCTATAAAACAACAAACATAAACATCAACGGTGCATTGCAATACTTTAACAGTTTTGTAGTTGTTCACGATAGCTAATCTTTTTTTTATTAACTAAAGCGTAGAGGTAGACTTGTATCTCAAAACAGACGTGATAAAATATAGTGATAGAAAAGTGGTGCTGTGCCAAACAACAGAGTACATGATCTGATCAGATAGAAGATGATCAAGAGAGAAAGAACTTACACTATTTCTTTTACTTGTTCAGGAGGTGTATGGGGAAGATGCCAGGGCTCACTAAATGTGTTTGGACCCAGTAAGTACATCCTGTGTACATGACTCTGAGACTCCTCTACTCTGTTAGTTTCCAAAACCTGATTGGTAATGTTGTTGTCAAACATGTTTCTTAGTCACAAAACAGTGGATAGGAAGATGTGAAACTGGACAGCTCCTTATTCTCCCCATTAGAAAATCTCTATAAAATTACCTCGTTAAGGGACTCCAGGAAAGGGAATGAATGATCTATTTGAGAACCCTGTGTAGGCGCAGGGCCTGGTAACTCATCAACACCAATGAACTTCATCCGGGCAACGCTCAGAACTAGAGCAAGCAAAACAAGAAGACCCAAAAGCAGAAGGCCAAATAGCCAGGGTCCTCCAAAGGTATATATCAACTCTTCAAGAGCAGTATAACAGTGTGGCATGTGGTACCTCTCGGAAATACATTTATATGGGCAAGGTGTCTCCGTAATACCGCCTACCAGGAGCAAAAACCAACATCCCATTAGTTACATGTTATTAATCACATGAATCAACATAAATAAGCAGCATGATTTAAGTAAACAACTTCTGACTCCAACTGAGAAAAGTTGAAACTTGAGGCAACTGAGAAGGCATAATCATAAATGTTGCATAACTGATTCCATTTATAATTTAATAAAGGAAAAAGATGAAGAAAAAGAAATACATGAAAGTATAAAATGTTCCCCGCGATCAGAAGTACCTCGGACATGAACGTAAACAGCACGGTTGGGAAGCTCATTGCTTGGGCATGAAAAACAACTATCAGATCCTGTGATATTTTTATAAGTTCCAATTGGACATTCCTACAGCGAGAAAAATACATCAAGATAAAATATCAGAAGTAGACCAGATAAAAAATTCATAACCAAGACACTAACTATGTTGTTGTTTGGCAGAAAACCTACTTAACTTCTGATCATAAATCGGGAAAAAACTAAACCAACAAAGTGCTCTAAATTCCTGGCGTCTTAACAAGTAATTACCATTTCAATTAAATAACATTCTAGCCAGACATGCTTCTATTCTATGCTCTATCAATTGATCAATAGTGCAATTGGGAGTAATTGTAAACTCCATGAGCAATCCACTACAATCAAGAAACGATGTCAAGACATATTCTTTACTCATTGTTATAATTCAACTTGGAAATAAATTTATCAATTAAAATATCCTAGCAAACGAAAATGGCATTATTAAAGAATAACATGTAACAAATGTGAACTTGAAAACGAATCAAAATATATGAAAGAACTACCTCGCAGAATATTCCGTAAAGCCCCTTAGGACATGCTTTACCACTGAGAGTTCCATTTTCACCCATGTGACTCTGTCTGCCACCTATGCCACCCCTACGGTAAAGGAAATCAGGAAATGTTAAAACCAATAAAATGCAGACGTCAATATCAGATTCTGAAGCATGATATGCATGTGAAAGAATCAAGCAAGCACAAAATGATACATTTTTCAAACAGTCATACATGCTGAAATTCGCATAAAATATGGAGAAGCGTATCTGGAACACCAGGTCTGCTTTTGGGACAGGGTCGTTTCATGTATAAGCCACTGAGAAATGCTATAGGTACATAATATTGTACATAGGGGTGTACATAACACTCACATTGAGTGGGACCAACCAAAAATAAAAAATCAAGTGGACCCCACTCTACGTGAGTGTTATGTACACCTCTATGTACATTTATTATGTACTTGTAGCATTTTTCTAAGCCACTCAGACAAAGCTCACAATGAGAAGCATGGAATCAAACCAATTAAATAAGGTCTACAGTGAAATCCAATAATTAGATAGTAGGTTACATGGCAGCTCCCAAACAATGTAGAGATATAGGCCTTAATCACTTATTCCTCATAGTCATAGGACTACATTTATTTTTAATATTAAATGTCTGACAAACTATTTATTATAGAAATGCACCCCTACCATGGCTGGGTAGATACACTCAAAGCCTGAAGCTTATGCGCATCATGATAGAAACCAATTCACAATAATTTCTTCTATGAAGCTCTCCAAATATCATGTAGCGATCATAGCCAAAATATTAATGAGGTATTATATATCTGTTAGAAAACATAAGGATGAATAATATACTATAAACCATAGTCCTATGCATTAAATAAACAATATAGTTTAGGACGAACCAAAAAAAAAATCATTCAACGCAGGGACATTGCATGCATCAGCAGAAGGAAATATTTGTACTAACCCTGCAGAAATTGTTCCGTTAACTGTAGCTAGGGGCCAATATACGTCTCCAGTGGGAATATCTGACCAGTGAAAATGAATCCGTCCACCACCTCCTCCTCCACCACCACTCAGGCTACCATGACCTCCAACACTAGATAAATTGCCAAATTTACCCAGAGTCAAAGAGCGTAGAAATAATAAGATAGTACCACCGGATCCACCTCCAGGTCCAAAATTCACATCATCAGTGGACGGATTCTTCATTTGAAGGCTGCCGGTATAGCTGTCTCCATCTGCTCTGACAGAACCCTCAACATATAAACTCATCAAGGGATGCTCTAACGAGCCCATAACTGCATGGAAAGTCAAAACTATAATCCCACTGCAGAAGAGCTAAGATAGCCTGATGACGATTTAAAAAAAAATCCACTGATAGATTGGTAATATTCAATAAAATATTAGATATTCAAGATGCTTAGGCGCATTCAATGAATAATGTCAGTGAACACGAATATGTTCAGGAACTACACTAGGACCACAAATAAAAATGAGACAACTGTCTAGGATCTATACACCAGGTGTAGAATCTCAACCAATCAGCTAAGGTAGCCAACAAGAGTATGATTTCCAGGTAAATACACAATCAGGGAAAAAAAGAAAAAAAAAAAAAGCACTAATATCATCTGAAAATATTAAGCTTACCCAAAATACCACCACCACTGGTTGATATTGCCATGCTATCATTTCCACTCCCACTACCTAACTCACAAGGCAATTCAGCATCACCATAGGGTACACCACCATCAATGCAGCTGCCATTATAACATCCCATCCCACCCCTGCCACCATGTCCACCACCACTACCAAGACCATTGCTCAATAATATACCTTGACCAACACCACCTTGGCAGCCTACATAAATAAATTCCAGATTCAGATATATCGGAAATGCAACCAACTAACAATTTTTGTTCGGCCAATATTTCAACAAACTGGAAGGTGAAGCCAGGTTTCTTCGTGTGCTTGTCATAGAGAGAAGACTAGCATCAAACAATCCATTATTCAAGAATAATGGACTCTTACCCATTCCAGATGTGCTTATAACTCCAGATGAAGGAACAGTGATGGTCCTAGCTCTATGGAAATGAACAACTGAGCCTTCAACAAAACCTTCGACCAAGATATCCTCAACTCGACAAATCTGCTCGATCACATATAAACATATAAGTATATCTTTAAGGAATATCTATACAAGTAGGCATAATTGTTCATAAATAGAAAACTAAAGCGTCGTGTTCGAATTACACGTAGTTGAAAAAAGACAGAATCTAATACTTTCTATCAGCAATCAGGCACCTGTAGAGTAAAGGACAGAGACGAATTCACATTGCAGTCCTCAGGTGGACGTAGCAGTTCAGCTGGGCAACCTTGCGTATCACAGTACAATTTTGGAGTCCTAAATGAACCAAAAATAATTTTTCAGGAAAAACAAGAAATAGGGAAATTTAGGTTTAGTTAAAAAGGCATTGAAACTTACACAACGTCATCCACTGAATTTTTTAAAGGACCACGCAGAATAGATCCAGGTCCAATCTTCATCACATGAGAAATGAAAATAAGATTAATACGATTTTAATTTAAGATTGTATCAAAGCAGGGCCAAAAATGTATCAGATTATAATATTGAAAGACCAGTTACAAAAGGTTCCAGATAACATGAATCAACCAGAATGGCAGCACTGGTTTCATTCAATGAGTTGAGCAGTAAAAAACAATCAAGAATCTGAAATATGTAAGGAAATAAAAGTGAAATGAACAGATCAAAAAAACACTTAAATAGAGTGTGCAACAAGCTAAAGCTCATATGAACATTGAAGTATACTCGACGTTGAAGTTTAAGTGTCCAAGGTGTGTAAATGAGATGAAGCTACCATCAAATACAACTAGGAACCTACACACAAAATAATCACTTAGAAAGACAAAGTAAATGACACAAATATTAAGAGAATTCAAGCAAATAATATGAGAAATAGAGCCTTGGTAATTTAAGTTCCAAAACCTAGAATCATGATATTGGGTTAATCAATAAAACTAAAGAACTAAACAACCAACAAATGCAAATATAGAATTAAGTGTTTGACAATGGTAAACAAAAAACAAAAATGAGATCAGTTATGTTGCTTACATTGATACTATAAAACAACGACAAAACTAGGCGTTGAGCTTCTATACAATCTCCTGGTCCAGACAAATTTAATAAACCTTGCCCATGAATTCCCAGGTTAGCATTTGAATGGATAAGTGATGATTCCTGTTGAAACAAAATAGACAACCGAGTCATGTGTGTACTCCTAGACCACAATGCTATAGATAGTAGATACTTACCCTGAGGACTATGAGGTTACTAGCCTCAAGCGAAGATGTCTCAACATTTTCATCTCCACCGCCATCTATTGACATCTTTGAGTTCCACATCAAAAACATCTTAACAGACATCCGAAGGGCGCCAAAAACCTAAATAAGAGAATTTAAAAAGAACAAGTCTTTCAGTAAAAGCTTGTAGTCAGTAATAGTGGCTAGTGAATGAGAGAGATAGGATTTCAGTATCTCAACCATTTGAAAACCACTTCATTGCAAAAACTGTCACTTACTCTAATAACAGAATCACTCATTAATAGCTCTTCTGCCACTAGTTCAAATTCTGACATTGAATAATGTGCAAGCCCAAAGCTCAACACTCCTCCACTCAAGAGACTGATTTGTCCTTGAACCTTGACAAACAAATGAAGCTGAATTAGATTCTTATTTTCAAACTGTAGTGTCCCATTACATAAAAACATATATAACTTTGACAGGTACAAGATATTGTCCCATAAAGACGTAACCATTAGGAGAAGATCCTCTTCACTGACTCAATATTTATTCTGCAAAATTAAAGGCAACATGTAGGAAATTCTCAATCAATTTTCCAAATTTCACTGACCTGGACACGGCTCCACAACAAGGGGACGGCAGCCTTGGCCTGATTCCGGATATAGACATTTGTCAAAAATGGTTGAGGGAAGTCCATGAGGAGTGTGTCCGTAAAAGTAGGTTTCTGATGATTGCTGACAGTAAGGCTGCGAGGAACGGAATCATAAAATGTACCAGCAGCACCAGAATTTTCAGGGCAACCGAGACTGTTCCCACCTGCAACAAAGACATGCTTGTGAAGCTTGACTGGTTCAGTTTACATTTTCAGACTCATAAAAGAATACTCAGGTGCTTTATTATTTACTAATCAGAAGATATATCAATTGTTTGCTCTAAGAATCTATGCCAAAGATAGGAAAGAAAGTTTTGAAGAAAGCAAATTAGCATAATGATTAGGTTGTATATAGATCACTTCGGCAATAATCTGTTGCTTTATTCCTCAGAATAATAATGGAGAAAGCTGATCAAATAGTAATAGATATTATATATTACTTGAACAAGTAGGACCAGAGAAAACTTAGACCTATAGGTTGAAATGGCCAAAGACAGAAATTATCATAGGTCATACCATGTACAGAAATAACCGGCTCATCATGCCTGCTAAATATATCAACTGAAACTCTACCACCACCACCTCCACCAAAACCACTACCCCCACAAGCATGTATACTGCCAGTTCCAATCCTGCAGTTTAACAGAAGCAATAGGTTCATAATAATTTTCCAAATGTGAAACACAAAACAAAGGATGATCTGAACTATTGAAGGCATAAAATAAAATGACAACAGGCATGATACATTAAGAAAACTCAGAAAATGACACCGACGTAAATTAAAAATACTTGGGAAGATGATGATGAATATAATAATAATAATAATAATAATAATAATAATAATAATAATAATAATAATAATAATAATAAAATAAATAAATAAATAAATAAATAAAAAAGAAGTACCACTTCGGGAAAGATGTTAATCTATGCCACCGAATAACAAAATTCTACAAATGAGGCTAGTATAATCTAATGCAGCACAAAAAAAAAAAAAAGAAAAAAAAACAAGGGATTTTGATATTAGAAAATATAATCAGAACCAACATGAAGTAGGCATTAGAGCTACCAAATAAATTGTCTAGCACCCTATTTCAATACTGATTCCAACTGCAAGAAACCAGATCCAGTAAGATTTAGTTATACAGGCCTTTGCTACAGTTGACTTCAATGAAGTACTGCTATCACAATAATAGAATTCTGAATATTAGAACTGCAGGAGAGAAAATAAAGTGGGCTCCAGCCTATAAGAACCATTCCTACTGTCACTTCCATCCTTAGTTCACTCCTGTGAAAGCGTTGTATGAACCACAGAAGTGACAAACAGTTTAATTCCACCTTCCCATAGAATATTCATTCTTAGTTATCCGTCAATAAAATGATGAAAACACAAGATATTCAATATCCTACCAAACAATATACAGTCCATAAATGGTATGGTTTCCATGACATGAGGAAATCCCCAACAAGAAGGCAGAATCAGATTAGTTTAATGTGATACTGATTCATCCAATATATAATTAGAAACAAATAATAGCTTACCCTTCGATTCAGAACAAGCGCAGAATTCAAACAAACTAAGTTACACCATCAAATTAATCAAAATTCTCACTCCCATTTCCATTACACAACTCTACACTAACACGAAAGTGAATAAAAGCATTTTCACTACATTAATGTAGACTAACATGAAGCAAAATTAAACAATGATAAGAGAATAATGAAGAATTTACATCTTATAAGCCTTGATGTAGATGCTGCCCCCAGAACCCCCTCCACCTTTGACACCTCCATCTCCACCATCAGCAAGAATACTGCCATTCAGCTCTAAAAGCATTGAAACCACAAGCATCACCCTTCCTCCTCCTCCGCCTCCATAGTCAACTTCATTGCTTGTCGTCCCTCCTCGACTCCCATAACTCCAAGGCTTCCCCAAACTAGACCATGAATATGCATCCCCTCCCCACACATCTTCCTGAAGCTTACTCTTATCTCTCAAACACGCAGCACCCCTACCACCGTGACCCCCACCAGCCCCATCAACTCCTTGTGGGGTCCCGCTGGTCTGCGGCGGAGGAGAACCAGCTAACCCTGTCGTGTTCACAGCAGAACCATTCCCAAAAATAGCATTATCCGAGGCCAACTCAAAGGTCCCACAGATGATGGTCGAATTCTCACCCAGAGTGAAGTTCCCGGTAACATTCACTGCGAACTCGCATCCAGAAATAGAGGAACAATTAACGATAACGTTGGGCAAGATTACGAGATTACCCTTGCCTTCAACGTACACATCCTTGGATAGATTCAAGCTGGAGACCACCTGACAAGTGGTGTCCAATGAACCAATGCCACCGAGATCGGACTGGCAGGAGAGCGATGGTGGATGCGGCGGCGGAGGGGGCGGCGCCGGCGGAGTGTAGTCCTGGTGGAATAGAAGAATCTCCGAGTCCAAATCCAGGTCTTCCGGACCCGAGTCCGCCCAAGCAGTAACCGCCGGTCTAGGGTTTGTCGAGACTGATAGTAACAGGACGGCCACAAATCCTATCACACAGGGCGAAAGTATGAAATGGAGCTTCAACATAGCCATCGACTGGTCGGAATAGTCATCACATCAGTGGGCGGAAGACGGGGAATTAGAAATGGATTGCATCTGCTAAGAAGCACTTCGAATCAAAAAACCCTCGATAGATAAACCGCTGCCCAAACAAAATTGGGGGCAAAAGGCCAGTTGCAATCCCCTGCAAACTCACAGTGCAAGAGCACAGAGATGCATATCCAGGCTTTAACTGCAGGACTGTGTGTAAAGGTTGAAGATGGTGTTTTGAGAAGAAGAAGAAGAAAAGGTTGAAACACAGTTCTGAGAGAAAAAAAAGGGGAGCAATAGGATTATAGAGAGAGAAAAATGAGAGAGCGTGTTACATTTGAGGGGAAGGAAGGTGGCAACTTAGGACAGTTTTATTTTATTTTTTTCTATTTTCTATTTTTGTTAAATTGAAAACGATATCCTTTATTGATGATTACTCAAAATAAGGGTACGTCTACTTGATGCGTCACAAGTCTGAATACTTTGAGAAATTCAAGCAGTATTGGGTGGTTGTGGAGAAGCGCCATAGTAAGAATATTAAGTTACTCCGATCATATCGAAATGGCGAATACCTCTTGGGAAGTTTATGACATATTTATCAGAAGCTGGCATATAATTCCAACTTATTGCACCCGGCACGCCCCAGGCGAATTGGGTAACCGAATCGAGGAACAAGAATCTTATGAAATGATTCGGTGGATGATGAGTTTTTCAGAGTCACCATATTTGTTCTAGAGAATGGCCCTGAAAACAGCAGTGTACATCTTTAATGTAGTTCCATCTAAGTCAGTTGAAACTACATTGAGTGAACTTTTTGCGCCCAATATTTAACATTTCCAGATTTGGTGTAGCCCAGCACATGTGCTGGTGCAAGATGTTGATAAGATGGAAAAACATTTAGAAGTACATCTGTTTGTGGGTTATTCCTTGGAGTTAAAAAGTGGTTTATTTTAAAGGATCACAAGGTAAAAACTGAATTATTCCTCCGCGCAAAATCCCCAAATTGCCAAAAAAACCCTTCCTCCAGTCGCCGCTAATTTTCGCCTGCGTCTTCCCCGATTGGCAGCCAGGCCTTGCCGGCGGATGGCCCGTAGCCGCACCACATATGCCCTAATTTCGCACGGCCCCTCTCATCTTGTGCCAGTGGAGGATGATAACTTCTCGAGGGTCGGGTGTCGCCGGTTTTTTGTTCCCGATTGAGGTTGCGGTTCGTCATCCTTATTGGTTTTGAGGTGGTGCCAGGTGGTGGTGTGGGGTTGGGGTTTGGGTATGGCCCTAGATGCTCTCACTATCCGTGGCAGGTCGGAAGGGGCTGAAGTGTGGTTTCTCGGTTCCCTGTTCCTATGCTTCCTGGTGTGGGGTGGACGGGAGGCTGACGCTGCCGGACCTTGGCCAGTGTTGTTGGCCGGGTCCGGGTCGGTGTTGGTGTGTGGAGGTGCGGGTTGTTGCTTCTCGGGATATGGGTCCGATTTCGTCGTCCTGGAGTGGGTCGGGGTATATGGTGTTGGCTTAAGCTAGGATTTAGGCAATTTCGGGAGCCGATTCTTGGATTTTGAGTTAGTCCGTTGGGTGGTCAACCTGGATTCTGTCGGTGCTTTTGCTTTGTGTTTGGGCTTGGCATGTCTTCTGGGGAAGTATATTGGTGTTGCTTTGTGTAGCTTAGTTGTGTTGTTTTGTGCTTGTATTTGTGTTTTCTTTCCTTTCGGGACTGTGTAGTTGTTTAGTTGTGTTGTTTTTTCTCCAGTTGGGAGCCATTATTCTCCTGTTGGGAGCAGCTAGTTATTCTCCTGTTGGAGGTTTATAGTTTGTTGTGATGTGGGGAGTTAGTTTAAGTGCTCGTAGGCTACCTCCAGGTAGACCTCTAGGGTTCAGTTGTTTGGCTGCTTAGCTATTCTAGATGTAATTATGTGGTTTTTGTTCTTATTAAATTCTATCGTTTTGAAAAAAATAAAAATAAAAAAGATCAGGTGATCGTTACCACAAATGCTAAATACTTGGAAGAAGGTTATATTATAAACCACAAGCCCACAAGTAGATTTGTCTTAACGGAGTTGAGGGGTAAGGTCGCGAGTTCAATACTAAGTGTGCAAGTAGATACGCCACATAATACCGCAACACGTGTCATTGAGGATGTGCATGTGCAGGAAGTGCATCGTTGTACCGTAACACGGGCCTATAAGGTGAGTAAACACATAGAGCGCAAGTACCACCTAATATGAGAGATCATAGGAAGAGAAGACGTCAAGGTCATGAAGATAGCATCGGAGGACAACCTAGTGGATCCTTTTCACGAAGAGTCTGCTTACAAAGGTCTTCGGCTCCTCGATCTCACCTCCCGGCTGCACATCCACCTTTGCCTTGCCCTTATCTTGCCTATCTTTCTCCTCCCTAGATCTCGACCCACCTGGTCGATCTGATACTTCTTCGCTGCCCTTCAGTTGCTTCCTCGCCAGCTGTCTGTTGTTGCTCACAGTGGTTTGATAGCAGCTTCTCGAGGTAAGCTGGTCTCCTGCGATCTCGCCCACGTTTTCTCCCACAGTATACTTAATTGTCATGTGGTGCGTCGACACGACCGCTTGAAACACATTCAGGCCCGTCCTCCCTAGGATAATGTTGTTTCTGCTCCCACTCCACAAATATCACCATTCGCACCTTCCTCGTATCACATGATCCCAATGCCACTGTTAAACTCACCTTGTTGTGTACAAATTATTATTTTTACCGAGTACCAAATCAAAAGCGGGTTGATCTCACGAGGAAGGCGGTTCGGAATTTAGAAATGATATTGATAACTCATAAAAACAAAACAAATCCTAAACACACTAATGAAATAAGGGGAGATCAATTACCAACTAAGAAATAAAATAAGAGCAATAATCTACCTAAAATATAAACGAAACAAAGACAGGAAAGCTAGGGAATCGGGAACAATTAATTCATGTTCTATTTGCACACCGGGTCATAAATCACTCTATTCTAGATTGACGCTCTCGCTTAAGCATCTAGCGGTTCACTCCCAATAACTCTTCGTAACAAGGGATTGAACATAGACGAGCAAGTTCGAGCATACAATACCGGTCAATAATCCAATCCAAATAACTTTTCGTAACAAGGGAGAAGACACCGACAAGAATGAATTTCAATCCAAAATTCATAGATTATTCAGTTACGAAATCATCTACCTTATGCGAGCCTAGGTCTACGAATTCTTCCCCTTTCGGTTCAAAATGTCGCTAATTTAACTAGAAGGTGATTAATCAACTAATCATATAGAATTGACAAACCCTAACTCGACTAATCAACACCCAATCGTTACTAATTGCAAGATCGAAGTGTCACTCTCCGATTATATCAATTACTCAAGCAAGATTACATCAATTCTGAATTAAAGCAGCCCACACAAGAACGAATAATTCAAGCCCGAGATATACACGTTAAACATGATCAATCATTCACTATCCCTAGCAAAAAGAATCAGCTATGTAACATAAACTCAACACAATAAATCAATTCTCCCAATTCAATCATTATTCATGAATTCAAAAGAAGAGAAGACAAACTTACAATAAATCCCAATTTCACGTGTCAAATACGAATTACAAGCTTAATTCAAAAGGCAAGAATAAACCCTAGATGAAAATTGGAAAAGAAAGATAAAAAAAGGAGAAGAAAAATGATGGAGAAGATAAGAAGAAGGGAAGAGTACGTGTTTTTCTTATCGACTAGGGTTCATCCCTCCAAAGGGAGAGAATGCCCCTTTCGTTTTTCGGATTCTGCTATTAAAACAGGTTCTTACGCGAGGGTCGCGGCCGCAGACAGGCTCGCAGGCCGCGGTGAAGACGGGTTCCGCGGCCGCGAGATCTTCCGAGGCCGCAAGAATTTGCTGCTGAAGTCTGGGATCGTTGGAAATTTCTTGTTGGCCACGGCCG